TCAATGACCCAGGTAACTATCTCGAAACCTGGAAGGCTTCTTTTGCCCTTTCCCCTATGCCTAATCAATTGCCAGTATTGTCAGTTCTCCAGGTGAATAGCTGTAGACTCTATATACTGCCTGTCACTGTGCACTGCCACCAGCTAAGACCAAGCCACTGCTGCCATCTCTTTCCTAGGTTACTTTAAGGGTAGTTGCACCACCTACACTTTCTCCAGTCTAATGTCCTGTGCTGTTATTTGCCTTTATAAAATGTCCATCTGATTGCATCAGCCTCTGCTAATGCCTCATTAGAGTTTTGATAAAACCTAAACTTTTTAACAGGGCTTATAAGATCCTTAATAACCTGTTCCCAAACTGGCTGCATTTCTTGGAGTTTCTTGGAAGTATCTGCCTCCCTCAAGCACACCCCACCCCACCCTGCATACATACACATAACTCCTGTGGGCACTTGTTTGTCATTTACAATAGTGTATAACATAGGGCACAGTAAGGCCTCAATAAATATTTGTTGAATTGATATAGGAAGGCAGTGGTCCTGGATTGTAATTGTGTGCCCTCAAATTTTAATTTAATATACTTTAAAAATGTAAAGGCTTGACCAGGCACAGTGGCTCTTGCCTGTAATCCCAGCAATCTGGGAGGCTGAGGCAGGCGGATCACCTGAGGTCGGGAGTTCCAGACCAGCGTAATCAACATGGAGAAACCCCGTCTCTACTAAAAATACAAATTAGCCAGGGGTGGTGGTGCACGCCTGTAATCCCAGCTACTCCTGAGGCTGAGGCAGGAGGATCTCTTGCAGTTGGGAGGTGGAGGTTGCAGTGAGCCGAGATCGCACCGTGGCTCTCCAGCCTGGGCAACAAGAGCAGAACTCCATCTCAAAAAAAAAAAAAAAAAAAAAAGTGATAGAGGCTTGCAGAGTCAGAAGTTGCTGTTTTGTTTTATAGTGCTGTGTATATGTTTCCCTCTACTCTGTAGTTTCCAGAGGCTTATTAAAAACGGAACTAAAAGAAGTATGTGGGATTCTGTTAGGAAATCAGTTTCAATCTGTGCTCTTTGGCGGTTGAGTGCTGAGCTTAGAAGGCTGCCAGATGGGGACATAGGAACCAAGTCACCATTGCTTCCCAGTGGGGAACAGGGGCGTAAATTGGCTGAATGGGCTTCTGCGGTAAAACTCCTTCAACTTGAGCTTGTGTAAGCCAGGATCAAAATACCTGATACTTGTTGAGACTTGTCTATACTGTTGATTAAACTTTCAAACCTGTTTGGGAAGAAGGCTTGGAACAGCAGTGGATTTGGGTCTTGTGCAGTAAATCCTATTTAAAAGAAATAGACAAAATCTTAATCATGTTTAATTTGTAACAATATAGGTAAGACTGTTGGTTGCTGTTGTAATGAACCTAAAAAAGAATAGAGAATGTTTTTTTCCTTAGAAGTTCAAGGTTTAATGACGAAACCCTGTCTTACTAAAAATACAAAAATTAGCCAGGTGTGTGGCCTGGCGCCTGTAATCCTGGCTACTCTAGAGGCTGAGGAGAGAGAATAGCTGGAACCCCAGAGGCAAAGGCTGCAGTGAGCCGAGATTGCACCACTGCATTCCAGCCTGGGCCACAGAGCAAGACTGCATGTCTAAAAAAAAAAAAAGAAGTTCCAAGTTCAATATTTTCAACTTCCCCCTCGGGACTGGGAACTCCTGGGTGAGGTTTCTAAGTCTCCATCCTCTCAGAACTCCTATCTCTAACTTCTTCATGCATGGATCAGAGGGGCCTGGAGTCACTGCTGAGTCACAGGGATAAGCAAGAAGGGAATGACACACTTCCTGCCCCAAGCTCTAGGGCATTTTTACGGTTTGTTTTTCAGTTTCTCTTTGAAGATTCCCTGAAAAGACAGAAGGTTGCCCTAGCTGTCTCCTGATTAGCAGCCTCTATTTGTTTATACAATTTCGTAGGATATCCTCTCTGCTATGCTTTGTAACTCACAGGCTTTTTGAAACCTTTTTTCCTTATCACAACAGTGTTACATGTTTGTGTGGTGTATTTATCAACTACAATTTGATCAATAAAAAAAGAGGTACTCCTTATTGTTATTAACCAGAAAAAAATATGTTATGAATATCATCATTTCAGGCTCTTTTCTGTGTGCTTATAGTTTTCTCTTTAAAAATTATATATGGCTGGCCGGGCACGGTGGCTCAAGCCTGTAATCCCAGCACTTTGGGAGGCCGAGGCGGGTGGATCACGAGGTCAAGAGATCGAGACCATCCTGGTCAACATGGTGAAACCCCGTCTCTACTAAAAATACAAAAAATTAGCTGGGCATGGTGGCACGTGCCTGTAATCCCAGCGACTCAGGAGGCTGGGGCAGGAGAATTGCCTGAACCCAGGAGGTGGAGGTTGCGGTGAGCCGAGATCGCGCCATTGTACTCCAGCCTGGGTAACAAGAGTGAAACTCCGTCTCAAAAAAAAAAAAAAATTATATATGGCTTAATATAATTTCTTTGCTTTTATATATTGTTTTGTAGCCTTTGTGAAGAGTTCTCATGTTATTAATACTCTGCAAGATCAGTTTTAAAGATTGCATTACTGACCAGTGCAGTGGCTCACATCTGTAATCCTAGCCCTTTGGGAGGCTGAGGCAGGAGGATTGCTTGAGGCCAGCAGTTCAAGACCAACCTGGCCAACACAGTGAAAGCCTGTCTTTAAAATAAAAAAAAAATAATAATAAAAAAAGATTGCATTACATGCTGTTATATGGATGTGCCGTAATTTACTTAATCAGTCTGCATGTGGATAGTAGGGCTCTAAAAGTTTTCATATGGGGTCATTGCTATAACCTGCACAGCTTCCTTGCACCACAGCTATCCACACTTGTCTCTATTTCACTGGATGTATTCCTGTAAGTGGTTCAAAGGCCCTGTGGAGTTTTAAAGTTTTTTATCTTTATTGTCACTTTGCCTTCCAGACATTTGTTCTATTTTACATTCCCGCCATATAACATAAACTCCTTACCATGTCCTATATGGTCTACATATTCTGGCCTTTGGCGAGCTCCCAACTGCTTCTCACACCTTTCCTCCCCTTGCTTCTCTCACTGTAGCCGAGCAGCCCCTCTCCTCTCCTTCCCTGAAGCGTGCCAGGCTTGTCCTATCTCAGGCTGTAGCACTTGCTCTTTCTACCGCCCAGACCATTATTCCTGTGGCTTTCAGCATATACCTCCAATGCCACTTCTGCTAGAGTGGGCTCCATCAGAATCCCCTGTTTATTTTTGCCCTAGCACCTTTCACAGTCTGTCCTTTATTTACGTATGTGCTTACTGGACTGCCACCTCTTTTTCCCATTGAGGTCAGTTTTGTAAGACAGGCAACGCCATATGGTTCATTTCCCATGTCCCCAGCATCTAAGTCAATGTCTGCTATTCAGTAGGTACTGGGTAAATGCAGGTGGATTCATTCATGCTGAATGAATGAAGAAATCTCCCTGTCATATAAGAGTGTGGTGTAGTAGGGCTGATGAACTGTGTATAGTGATGGTTACCTCTTGGAGCAAAACATGGCTACCTCTTGGAGCAAAATGTAGGAAATGCTGTAAGTGTCCAAATATCACAGAGATGCAGGAGTGGGAGCCAGTGACTGGCTACAGTGTCATGAAAGGGTTCATCTGAGCGGAGCCTTGGGAGATTGGCAGTGTTTTGCAGCTGGTGACGATGGAAAGGATCCGAGGGGCTGAAGAAAGTGGGTGAGCCGAGGCCCAGAGGCAAAACAGTGAAGCACGGCGGGGGCAGGACTGGGGACTGCTTTAAATCCTGTGTTGACTCATGGACTCGGAGCCCTGAGCGGCAGGGAAGCATTGCATGCTCCTCATCAGAGGGTGACATGGTGAGTGAGGATACAGAAGTACTTTTTAAACTAAATTCTAGGTACACATGGCAATGTTAGGGTGATCAGGCTGTTCTTCAAGAAGATGTACCATGAGGACAACTAAGTAAGAGGAGCAGGAAGTTCCGGCTAGATGATGAGCCTGAAGGGGGTTGGGATGATGGGCTGGAAATGAGAAGGCAGAGGAGCATTTTGGAGCTGGGGAAGAGGGAGAGTGGGACCCACGATGACACTGAGGTTTTAGTCTGAGTGACTGATGGGAAGATGAGATATGGAGCCCTAGAACAGAAGCTGTTTTGAAGTAAGAACACTTATGAATTTAGTTTTGACCTATCCCTTTACTGAATTAGTAAGCCTCTTCCAGATTAAACCAGCCCATGTGCCCTCCTTTGTCCTGAAGGGGCTTGGGTGACAAGAAGATAGGGAAGGGGAGACAGAAGTATAAACCACAGGATGGGGGCTCGAGCTCCCGTGGCCTCTTCCTCCTTTGTAAGAAAAGGACTGCATTTGTGGAAAGGGGAAATGGGGCTCTAACTCTTTTCCAGGGGATGAGATGTCGTTTCCTGGAAATGTCTGTTCTCAGGCCCCCATTGGGAAGGATTTGCCACCAGCCTTGTTGTTGGGTAAATTTGTTCATGTTGTTAGGCTGAGGAGAGTGGGGGCGGATGTGTGTTGACTGTGGAGCACATGAACATGTGGACTCAGGGTACAAATGGGAAGAGGCCCAGAACTGGGTGACACATCATATTTTTCCTACAGACATTCAAAAATGATGTGCTTTTCTTAGGGGAAAACATGAAAGGGAAATTACTCAAGACATGTTATAGTGCTGATTGCTCTCTAAATTGAAAAGGTTTTGTTGTTGTTGTTTTGTTTTTGTTTTTTGAGACAGTCTCACTCTGCTGCCCAGGCTGGAGTGCAGTGATGCGATCTCTACTCACTGCAATCTCCGCCTCCTGGGCTCAAGCAATTCTTCTGCCTCAGCCTCCCGAGTAGCTGGGACCACAGGCATCCACTACTACTCCTGGCTAATTTTTTCATTTTCAGTAGAGATGGGGTTTCACCATGTTGGCCAGGTTGGTCTCAAACTCCTGGCCTCAAGTGATCTGCCCACCTCAGCCTCCCAAAGTGCTGGGATTACAGGTATGAGCCACCTTGCCCAGGCTGGAAAGGTTTTTGAAACTTACTTTTCAAAAAAAACTTGGTTTGAAAATAGCCACATGATATATCTCACTACATAATGAGAAAGCTCTCTGTCTTCTAGAGAGGGAATGGAGAATAGAAGTGCTTGGCTGGCATTCTCTGGAATATTGTCTTTTCAAGAAACCACATTCTATTGCCTTAAAAACAAAAGGAGGTTTAACACAATGCAAATGGAAATGAGAATGGGTGAGGCACAGATGAGAAGACAGCAGAACGTGGTAAATAAGTGACCACCCAAACCAAGAGAGAAATCAGTGATGACCAAGTGACAAGGTTGTGAAGGGAGCCAGAGAGGTTAAAACAGAAAAAAATAATAGGTTGGTGATGGAGGGAAGATGAGAAATTTAACTTGGGAAATATTCATGGCCTTATTAACCAGAATTTCTAGAAATTTACCTTACGATTGGATAGTTTTTCTTGGCAAATTGAGAGTTTAATTAGTTTAGTATTTTATTACTAGGGATCAAGTTCAGTTTTACATGAGGTTTTGCAATGGAATGATGCTATAAAATGTCAGGCCTCTGTTTATATTCAGTTCAGTAGAGAATAAACCACATTTAAGTGCCAGCATATTTATTGCAGCCAGCACTCAGTGTTTCTTTGCTTTCTAAATGCTGATTCTGTGTTTTCATTGGTAGTGTAGGTGTGAAGGGAGACTTGAGCATGAATCATAGGAAGACAGACGTAGATGCTCATTCTGCAGGCCTAGGGCCCAGCAAGTGCCACAGCTGTGCTGCTCATAGCTAGTGGTGGGATTCTGGGCAAGCCTTTCCGTCTCCTTGGATGGCCTTGTTTTCCTTGCTTGTGAAATGAGGTTAGATGGTATCAGCGGTCTTGCCAACACCCAAGTTATGTGATTCTAAGAGAAATTAGAAGACAGCCTTCTTTTTTTTTGCTTCTAACAATAACATTTTTTATACAATTTATACTTAAAACATAGAAACAAGTACTACACGATAGAAAGGCCTACCTTCCCATGCTTACCTTTTGTGCAGCGCATTTGGGTGGGCAGCCTGAATGGCAGCTGTGGTGATGACAGACGTGAGCAATCTCTGCCCCAGTGCTGGCCCTCAGCAGCAGTTGTTCACACTGCTTAACTCACCACTCTACCTGGCCTTGGGAGTTATTTTGCGTTTCTATTAAACCTAAAGCTATTATTCCTATTTTCCATGTGGTCTGCTCTTTGTGCTTTTTGCCTGGTGAATCATGGATGTTTTTGTGATATGATACGAAGACAAAAAAGCCAGCAGATGTAAGCTCATATTCCAGCATTCTGCTGAACAGATGTTACCTTTATGGAGCTGGGTTTCCACACCTGTAACCTGAGGATAACGATGCCCACTTCCCAGGGTTTTGGCGAGGACTGAGTGGACCACAGTGAGAGCACCATGCACACTGTGGACATTTGCAGGTGCTTAGCAGCAGGATTTCCCCAACCTTGTCTAGACACGGACCATGCAAGGCCATGTCTAGACAAGGCTGGGGAAATCCTGTGCCGTGCAAGGCCTCCTTTATGTGAGAAGTTGGGTCTGACCGTCCGCCATCTCTGTTAGAACATCTGGAAAACGCTTCTGAGCACATTGTTTATCTCAGGCACTGGGTCTCCTGGAATAATTCCTTCTCAGCCTGCCTTCTTCATGCTTCATCAATGATTCCTTCCTCTTCGAAGAAGAGGAGAGAGACAGAGAGGAATAAGTTGAATAGAGGAGGGGGAAGCTCTGATTAGGGCCGTGGTGTAGGGAGGCCATTGAAAGAGTTGGTATGGGTGTGATTCAGCATGTCAGGAGCGTACGTAGAGAACTGATGGGAAGAGAGAAAGGTTGAACAGGAAGAAAATGAAATTAATCTTGGCAGTCATGGCATTAAGCACTAGGGATTAGGAAGTATCCTGGGAATGCCAAAGCATAAAGGTCAAGGTGTTTTGTAGACATTTCCAGTTTTGTCTGAGGCTGTCGAATTAGATGAAATAAACAAATGAAAGTATCTTTTTATGCAGGCACAAATGTCTCACTCTTGTGATGATTTTGTTGAATGTGCTACTGATAAGGATGTGGGTAGCTGTGAAGGAAATATTTTTCTTGGGGTATGTGATAAGCAGTTGATGAAACTAGGCCAGTGAGAGCGTGTGTGTCTAGAGATTGTTCTGGTAGGGCAGGGGTTAGGCCTCATGGCCTCTCCTCTCAGCCCTGCCCTATTGTGCAGGGCCCTGTTGAATATGCTGCTTAACCTCTCTGCTCTGCCACTCGCTTTGGAAACTGGGATTGCCACCCACTTTCGCTGAGCGTGCAGGGAGTGAAATGATTTAAGTGATAGTCTCTTGCTCTGAGATGCCACGATAACCCGGAGCACACACACACGGAGGAGAAGGATCCGGTTTTCTCATGGCCACCATCGTGTGTTTGCAGAGAGATAGAGAAGAATACCAGATAAGACAGCCCCAGACTTCCCTCATGACAGCTCATTTGGTATTACTGTGACACTCCAGAGTGCTCCCATGACTGACAGTGTCAGTTGTGCTCTCAGGGGCTGGGGATTAGGGGTTGGGGTGCAGATTAGCCCTGTGCTTCTGCTGCAGAGCTCCGCTCACCAAGAAAAAGGCCAAGAGCCACGTGTATTCCTGAGTGCAAATTGCCTTTACAAATTTGGGTCTGGACAGATTCTTCAGCCACTAGAGGCCACTAGGCAGGGCTCCTAGGGCTGGAATTCTCAGCTGTCTGCTCTCTCTGCCTTGCCTTGAAGCATGGGTGATGCATCCATATTGGGCGACCATCACAGTGTTGATCCCTGAGCCTACCTAGAGTGTCTTAATTCACAAGTCCTAGGGAAGCATGGAAGTTCTGTGCATAGTCATGTCTACAAAGGCATCTTTGTAGAGATTAACTTTTTTTTTTTTAAACATAAGGCTATTCTATAAGGTTTGACTGCTTCACAAATATTTACTCGAGAGTCTCCCTGCTCTTTAGCCTCTGTCTGCAACTCTTCTTTCTTCCCAAATATAATAGGATAAGCAGAATGCTAACTGCTGGTACTGGTTTAAACAGCACACTTTGAATAGATCCAAGGACAACCTGGGCATTCTAGTCTCAAGTGAGAGAAGAGGAGTGTCTTAGGGAAATGCCTATGCAGATGCTTTGCTTTTTATTCTCCTATTTTTGGAGAACTCTCTCCAAAATCAGTTATTTCCTGCTGGGCGTGGAGGTGCCCACTGGATACCTGAGGCTACCATGTGTAGCCTCCTCTGCCCTTGCCTGGTGTTGGGACCTTGCTGGTACCTCCCTGACTGGGCCTGGAGTGTGTGTAAGGGCCCTGCTGTGATGGTGGGAGTTGTTTTCACATAGGACTGCAGGATTCTTTCTCCAGCCTTCTCTTCCCCCGGCTTCACTGCACTGCCCCATCCTCCCCCAGCAGAAATGGAAAGAGTGGTTCCTGGTGACCACCTAGCCAAGCAGCCACCACTGAGGTCACATTTTAGGGAAATGTGAGGGGCCTGTTCCTCTGTTTAGATGCAGCATTTCTGCTCTTTGTAACTTACCCTTGGAATTGCCAGTGAATCACGGCCTGGGAAGTTCTTGTGATTTAGAGTCCTGCACTTCCAGGAAGAGTTTTCTCTTGACGCCTTCTTTGACCCTTAGTTCCTGATGAAGTTTTCATGGCTTGGAAGTCCAGTCAGAATTTGGGGGGTTAACACAAAAGAACACAAAAATATTGTTTCTAAGGTATAAACTGGTATAAACATCATATCTCTATGAATTAGTCACATGATTAATGTAGGCCAAAGAAAACAGGAAACATATAGATATGTTTGTAAATTGATGTTGTTTTGGTATCTCTTTTGACCTCCTTCCCACATTAGTATTTGGCACTTGATTTTAATTTAGGTCAGTAATAATGCTCATTACTGCTTGAGAACTCTGTGTGCATCAAGCAATATGTTATTTGCTTCACGTGGTTCTCTTTAAATCTTACTAGCAATTCTGTGATGTTGATGATGTGATTCTCATCTTACAGAAGTGCAAAATTGCTCAGGGGTGTTAAATAACTTGCACGTCTGCAAAACCGGAAAGTGGTCTACATAGACTCTGAGCCAGGCCTTGAAGAGTGTGTCCATTACCTTCCACGTTTTTTGCCAGGTGCCTGGTAGATTCAAGGTGGAGTGTTATTGCTACAGAGTATAGAAATAAAATCAAGAAGCTTACCATGTCGGGAGAGTAAGATAAACAACCAAAGATAATACAAGGACAGCTATGATAGATACCAAAAAAGTGTTATCAAGAAAGGTCAACTGAGGTGCAGTAGGGGCTAAGGGAAGAGGTTGAGATCATACACACCTAACTGGGGTCACCCAGGAAAAGTCTTCTTAGAGGTGGTGCACTTGAGGTGGGCCTCATAGGACTGGCAGAATCTTACTTGTGGGGTGGATAAGGAAAGATTTGTGGGTGGCAATGACTGCCAGATGCCCAGGTAAATAAACAGGCTCATAAAGAAACTATTAGATTATATATATGCATGTATGTGTATGTGTACATGTGTGTATTGTGTATGCCTGGATACACTCACAGTTATATTCATTATGAAAACCTTCTATATCTTCCAAAGCAAAAGGCTAATGACTTTAAGTAGCAACGTTGTCCAAACTGTGTTCTCTAGTTCTCCTGAGAACAGAAACACCTCTGAGCAATACTTAATAGACGTTCATGTTTATACAGGTAGGAATGAGGTGTTTTTAAAATTTTCTTTTCTTCAGGCATCTGTGAATGAGGCCTCTCCCTCTTTTTGTTTTTTAAGTATCTGTTTCTATTTTCTAGCATGTTGAAACATAGACTTCCTGTTTCTGCTTGATTTTGAATATACTCCTGTTTGCTTGTCACAGGTAATCTTGAGTTTCTGTGTAGCTGTAGTTTACAGGGAGCAAGTGCAGGCAGCAACGAGTCCATCCCTGTTGTGAATGTGGAGACCTCTCTGGACTTACAATTAAAGGCTGCATAATGCATTCCACTACAAGTGACGAAACCCAGCTCCCAGAATAACAAGCAAGACAACTTTTCAAAGTGACTGTTGTTGACCAGTGCCTTCTGTGCATTTATGTGTTAAGCTTAAGGTAGATTTTTCAAAAGGATAGTAGAAATTATTTTGAATTCTTCTTGAGAAGGACTGAGTCTCCCCGAAGGTGATGCAGGCGCCGTAGTGCACACGTCAACAGGGTGATTGCGTGCGTTCCTCACGTCTGTATGACTCTACCAAGATACTGTGAAGTTGTCCTTCTAATTGTATACAGGGAGAATATGCTGAAACTAGGTGAGTTAAAACTGCCCTCAGAATATGTTTGAATGTAATGTCTTCGTTGAAATCTGGTAAAATGTTCAGATGACTAGCATGGTATTGCTGTCTTCAAGGAATAATGTTTGTTCGTGGCTTTAGAGTTACTGTGTTCAACACATCACTTTTGTTTTATTTTGTTTTGCTATGGCTCTGGGTGTGGGGAACCAGTGTTAAGCTGAGGGAGGTGTAAGTATTGTAGGTGGAAAAAATGGCATCTGAAGTTCTCACGTAGACAGTTTCATTTACAAATAGATGAAGGTTTGAAATGTTTCAGAGGTGGGACTCTGAAAAGGTTGGATGGCTTTTTCACCCAGAATTTCTCTTTTACATTTTTTATGTGTTTATTAACCGTAGGACACCTCTGGTTCCCGGTGGTCTGGCAGCAGTGGTAACAACATGGAACAATCCGTAAACGCGAGGGTGTTTATTTCTATTCTCTCATTGGGTAATTGTTTGAGTATTGCTGTTGCCATTTTCGCTAACAACCAAAAAAAATTTTACCTTATATATAAAGCATTTTGTACTTTTAAAATAACACCTTAGGTTTGTTTTTAGCCATGCTTAATGCTTCCACAGTAGACTTAATTTTATTTTTAAAGTAAATTGAAAAAGTTGCCAAGGATTGGAATACAGTGTTTTAAATAGCCCTTAAAGTTATATTGGTGTTTATATACTTTTTTGCAATTTGATGTATAATATTTGCTTAGGTTTACTTAAAATTTTTCTGCTCAACAGATTTTCTGGAACTTAAATTTGATACTAGGAAAAAACTAGAATTTGGAAGACATAGGTGGGTGTTGGTATATCTAGTCTTTTGGTCCATTATTGAACCTTAGCAGCCAATAAATATTATTTCGTAGAATCTTGGCTTCTCTTGTATGGAATGTGGTCACCTATATATCATTTATAGTCAATATACATTTGTCTACTAGATGCCTAGAGCTGTGCATGTGATCCCATCATATATGTATGTGTGTGTGTGTATATACATATACACACACATTCTAGCCATATATAAAAATGGTTATGTGTCTGTGGCTGTATGTCATTGCATATATACAGTTGAGAACAGAGCCAGCTTTGCTTGGGAGGGTTTTGTGGAAGACGTGAGTTTTGGATAGAATTCCAAAGGGAGGGTGAGCAGCGTACTTTGGCAGAAAGATGTGTACATAAGGCTTCCAAGGCTGGAGTGATTAAGTCATAAGCATTCAAGGGTAAGCATGAGCCATTTGAGAACCAACTGTAAATTAGTGGTTGAATATAGCCAGACTTGAAGTGAAGGAGAGGCAAGGTTGTGCATGCCAAGCTAAGAACCGTAGCGGTAGAGTGGCACGTAGGAGCTTGTCTACTCTGTTCCTGGTAAATTTCACTCTTGGATATCAGCACATCCTGACCATGTTGCCATCTAGTGGAACTGGCTGAAATGCCTGTGGGAGCATCAGTACTTTTTCCCACTTCAGGATAAACTCAAGCGTGATATTTTGGCAATAGGGAAACTTACTTCCCTGTTACCTGGGGATTTTAAATGAAGAATCAGACGAGGTGGGTTTAACTATGCTTTCCCTAGATGACATTAATTTAGATTCTGGAAATGTGGAGCTGAATGCTAATATAAGGAATTTCTCATAAACAACATCTGGAGTCCAGGGTATGACTGCTGAGAGTGCTGGGTGTACATGCCCATCAGCTTAATATATGGAGCGAGCAGGAAGCAGCGCTTGCGAGGTTCTGCAGTGGAGTGAAAGCATACCGCGTCTGGCCCTGGGCCCTTTATATTTCACTTAGGCCAGCTTGTTTTTGTCATGAGGTTACAGAGTCCATCCTAGTGGCAGAGAGAGCCCCCTGACCATAAGCACCACAGCCCACAGACCCCAGACCGAAGACAAGGTAAAGGTCTGTAATCCTCTTTCCCTCCCTCCCAGCCATCCATGGACATATGTATTCAGCAAATACTTACTGAATTATGTCCCAGGCACCTTCCAGATACTGAGGCTATAGCAGTAAACAAAGCAGATAGAAATCCCTGCTATTGGATAGCGGATATTCTAGGTGGGGTGACAAACATCAACAAAATAAATAAGTAAAAATATATAATAAGTGGAGAGCTGAGTGCTAAGTAGAAAAAAATATTTTCAAGCTGAAGAGGGAAACAAAGATTGTTGCAGGGAGTGAGAGGGTGAAGGCAGGTAATTGTGGTTGCAATTGTGAGTGAATCCTCACTGAGCATGTGATTGATATCAGACTCACCTGAGTAATGTGAGGAAGCCAGACGTAGATATCCTGGGGGAAGAACTTTCCAGACAGAGGGCAAGCGGCTGCAAAGGCCCTGAGGTGAGAATGGGCCTGATGTATTCCAGAAACAGTACAGGAGCTTAAAGGAGGGGAAGAGATGAGTCAGAGAGGTTTTGAGGAGCTAGATGGTAGGGCCTTGTGGACAGTTGTAATGAATTTGACTTGTACTAGGCATGAGATGAGAAGCCATTTGATTTAGTCCAGTCTTCTCATTTTACAAATCCAATGTAGGCCAAAGAAATCAAGGAAGGTGTCCATGGTCATTCAGCCTCGTGGTGTGAGAGCTTGGATGAAAACCTGTCTCCTGCCTCTGGTACTCTACCGGCCACCCTGCCTGCCCTGGGGGATACATGGCCATGTGCAGGTGCAGACTTCCAAGTGCAGTGGTCTGAGAGGAAGAAAAGTGCTGTGGGCTCCTCCAGCAGCTGTGTTTCAACATTAGTTGTTCCCCTTCTGTGTCCCTTTCTACCTATAACAAACACAGAATGGCTTAGACCTCTTATTTCAGAGAAATACTATGGCAGAGTATTTCTCTGAAATAAGAGGTCTAAGCCTTTCTGCCAAATATTGCCTGCCTTTGTTTTGCTATGGCAATAAATCCTTCAGGTTTTCCCAGTGGTATTCTGCCCATTAGCCTGTGAAGCACAAGAATCTGCAGTCTCATAAAGCCTCCCCTGTTTCTTATTTGCATTCATTTTTAAGCTATTTGGATATAATAAACATAAGATAAAATGTCTACAGTCCTAAGAAGTTTGATCACCATTCTCAGTATCACCCTCCCACCCTGAAAATTAGTAAGATTGAATATTAAATGTCACTTAAGATGAATTTGAAAATAAGATTACTAGTTGAGGAGAGAATGTGAACTCGTCACCAAATACAGCTTAACCTGGACCATTTTGGCCCAATACTCATTGTCTTCTTGTTTTACTTTGAACAAGTTCAAGCCTTTTTTTCCCCTTCTATCTCTTTTAGATCTTATGACCACTGTCCTCTGGACACAGGCCAGATCCTCTAATATCACTTTATGGTGAAGGTCAGACCAGTGCTAAGTATAGAAGAAAATCACTTTGTGCTGTCATCTGCATTTTCTCCTCTTGTTTAATCGTCTCCTAGCCTGCATCCAGTGGACAAAGCGACGTGAAGTATTTGCATCTTTGGAGAGAACTCATCCTGAATTCTCTTGCTTCATTCTTTCCCTTCCTCTTAAAGTAGAGCTCCCATTCTAGACGATAGGAGATTTACGTCATCATCATATCTTGCACTTACATTTGTTTGTGTAGCACTATTTCTTTTTTGCCAACCAAGGTGATTTCATATGTTTATTTGTACATGTCATCTATAAATGAGCGTGACATCCCACCAGCTTGAGCCATTAGGGTTAGCATTGATTTGCATCCTTTGGAATCAATTCTCCTTTTGGTAAAATTGCCTATCACTAGAGCCTGAGGGCGTAGACCTCTGTGGTCTTTCTGTTTCTATTTTTAGGAGAGTGTGCTCCTGGAAGAGCTATCTGAGCTGGATTTGATGAGAACCTAAGAATGAGTGCTTGGTGGAGGAAATTTCGTATCAGAACTCAGGGCCATGTGTGAGTTAGCAGCCACAAAAAATTAAAAATAAAATAAAAAATTTAAAATGTCAGGGCCAATAGGACAACAAAGCCATGTAGAAATGCAGATATTAAGGAGGGCCGCCATGAACAGTAGGCTTGACAAGAAACATTTCTGCGGTTCCTGTTTACCACCTAAGCCAGAGCATTACAGCATTTGCTGCGTGTGGGAGATGGAAAGTGAAAGTGCTCAGTTAAAGTTGCCGCCAAAGAAAGTCTAATTAACACCCTAACTGATTTCCCTAGCTTCCAGAAAGTCTTTCTGTTGGAATCCAGCATTTCAGCTGTAAGACTGCTGAGTGGAAGTGCGGAAATGCAATTTGCTGTCTGCAGAGCCCCAAGTGGACTTTGAGCACATTCTTTTTGTTTTGTTTTGTTTTGAGACAGAGCCTCGCTCTGTTGCCCAGGCTGGAGTGCAGTGGCACAATCTCAGCTCACAGCAGCCTCTACCTCCCGGGTTCAAACAATTCTCCTGCCTCAGCCTCCGGAGTAGCTGGGACTACAGGCTCCCACGCCTGGCTAATTTCTGTATTTTTAGTAGAGACAGGGTTTTACTGGGTTGGCCAGGATGGTCTTGATCTCCTGACCATGTGAACTGCCCACCTTGGACTCCCAAAGTGCTGGGATTACAGGCATGAGCCACTGTGCCCAGCCGACTTTGAGCACATTCTAAGACAAAAATCTGGCCTGACCTTAATAGTCCAGGGCTTTCCATTGCTGATTTGCTCCTCTCTTGCTAACTGCTGAATAATGTTCCTGCCCTTCACCACATGTGCCCCTGAGCTCCTCACCATACTTCAGCTCCTGGGAGAGATCCCAGGGCAGACCTGACCTCCTCATTCCTGGCTCCTTATTCCAGATCAGAATCTGGAGCTTAGAACACACACATACCTTCTCCGCACCTTGTCCCATCCTGCAAGTCTTTTGTGCTCCTGTCAGGCAGGCAGCCACCCACAATATGACAAGGATATTCTCACGTTGGGTTTATCAGGAAGCCCCATTAGGGAGTGTGGTTCAGCACCAAGTTTTGAGTGGAGGAGGAAGATCAGGAACCCATGTCCTACCTTACAGAACT